ACCGCAACTTCGACGCCGGAATTCAACTGTCCGCTTGCCTCCAGACTCCAACTTCTCACGTTCAGCTTCGGCAATCTCTCGCTCTCTGCGGACCTTCGCATGTCCCGCCACTCGCTTAGTTGCGACGCCAGGCGTACTTGCGGGTGTAGCCTCTGGGGAAGCGGTGCCCAGGCCGCCTCCCCGTTGACAAGTAGCCGTAGACCCCCCTCCGCTGCTACCATTAACAGGATTCGACGGAGTTCGTGGGGGGCGATTACGTGGGTGGCGCGCCCTCCTTGGTGCCGCTTTTCCTTCAGCGGGACTGCATGTCCGTCCACGTCTTAGTTCAGGGCGAGGAGACGCAGGTGGTGTCACGGTCTGCTCTGTATGGCACTTGTCGCCGCTACCCCCCCCCCGCTGCCCGCTACTCCTACTACGTCTCATTGCGCGTCGGCTCGATCCTCCCTCTACGGACAGGTCCTAGGCCAAGGATGCCCTGAAATTTTAACGCGCACAAAAAGGAAGTAGTTAACTCGGCGTTATCCGTATAGAGAATAGATACCATGACACTCAGACAGTCATTCATGGCATCCCATCCCAAAGTCAGGTGCGTGTGTCTCCATATTTAACCATAAAATCAATTATATATTCGTACCTGGAAGGATACTGCTCAAAACGTTTCAGGAGTATCGAAAGTAATCCAAATTATACTGTACAAATCAGGGGGGGGTCTAGTTCGTGTACAGTATCGAAGTACCGCGGACCATCCACAAAGATGCGTTCGTTTCGAACGCCAACTTCTCTAGATGTGGTCTGGGGTTCAGAAAAGTCGCTTCCACCCTCTCTTGATCACCGAAAACCATGGACCCTTTAAGTNCCTGAAATTTTAACGCGCACAAAAAGGAAGTAGTTAACTCGGCGTTATCCGTATAGAGAATAGATACCATGACACTCAGACAGTCATTCATGGCATCCCATCCCAAAGTCAGGTGCGTGTGTCTCCATATTTAACCATAAAATCAATTATATATTCGTACCTGGAAGGATACTGCTCAAAACGTTTCAGGAGTATCGAAAGTAATCCAAATTATACTGTACAAATCAGGGGGGGGTCTAGTTCGTGTACAGTATCGAAGTACCGCGGACCATCCACAAAGATGCGTTCGTTTCGAACGCCAACTTCTCTAGATGTGGTCTGGGGTTCAGAAAAGTCGCTTCCACCCTCTCTTGATCACCGAAAACCATGGACCCTTTAAGTCGACAGATAGTGAGCGTATCCCGCCGCGTGCTTTCTGATATTTCCACAGCAGTTTGACATGTGTAGTGTTCGTTTACTTTAAGACAACCCAATCTGCTGTGCTGCGGTGCATGCATGCAGACCTGCGTTTCGGATCTTTCAAGCATAGCGCAACAATATTGAACTTTGATCTCAACATGCTTATCTTCTGAACAATCAAATCGCTCGAAACCTTTTGTAAACGATGTCAACAGTACCTGAGTGCATGATGTTGGCGACATTTCGTTGCAACACGATAGACTCGTGGAGAGACTGCAGCAGATCCAACCCTTACTCGGAGATTTCCGAGTTGTCCTGCGGTGGTACGCCCTGAGAAAAAACTGGAAATCTACCCCTACGGACTAGCCCCGACTGTAAAACAAAGGCTGCACGGTTAACAGATAGCTAGCTCACCTATCTCAGCCGGAATATCGACGCTCCCAGCCCTGCTGCGCCCTATGAAGCCGGCCGTGGGAGGCGAGGTCTTGAGTTGTTGCGCCGCAAGCCGCAAGAAATCGAGGGGTTTCAGCAGGGGATGGCTTCCCGCCCGAGGCGTTATGTCTCACACTTTTTTTTTTAAATCAGACGTGCAGCACTGGATGCAGATGGACCAGAAAGTGTCACGTGCCCACTGACTGCTGTCCATCACTCTAATCTCAAGGCTGCGCTAGGGTCAGCAGCGTTGTGGTTGGGTTGGAGTAAAGTTTGGTGGGATCCTATGATGGAAGAGTTTCAGACAAAGTGCTTGTTTTGCTACTCTTTCTCTACAGCAGTTAGCCCCCGCAATTAAGAAACGCTTATTTCAGGTCCAGCCTCGAATTCTTGTTGTGGGCTATGAACTCAGCGTATTTCGTTCAATAAGTTTCTTATTTTCGTGCCGCCAAATCCTGCTGAATTTCTTCAATCGACAATTTCTTATCATCTCTGCTCACGAGAGCTGGCGGAGAGCACCATCAAAACCGGACAGCAGACAGCATATCGTGGTTTGCAGCCTGTCTGGTGTGCTGTTCCAGAACCGGAGCGCCGAGCCAGAGAGCGCCAGAGCCGGCAGGGGGCCGAAGGGGGCGCCGCAAAAAAAACATACTCCCCGCTCATCGTATAACTAATAAGGCACTTGGGAGCGGGGGGGTAGTGGGAAGGGGGGAAAAGAGCGAAAGATAGAATGAATGAGCTATGGGGTGTTTCTTATTCGACACACTCTCCCTGTGACCCCTCGTTTCTTACGTAGTAGGGTAGCGGTGGGAGCGGGGGGGTAGTGGGATAGGGGGGAAAAGAGCGAAAGATAGAATGAATGAGCTATGGGGTGTTTCTTATTCGACACACTCTCCCTGTGACCCCTCGTTTCTTACGTAGTAGGGTAGCGGTGGGAGCGGGGGGGTAGTGGGATAGGGGGGAAAAGAGCGAAAGATAGAATGAATGAGCTATGGGGTGTTTCTTATTCGACACACTCTCCCTGTGACCCCTCGTTTCTTACGTAGTAGGGTAGCGGTGGGAGCGGGGGGGTAGTGGGATAGGGGGGAAAAGAGCGAAAGATAGAATGAATGAGCTATGGGGTGTTTCTTATTCGACACACTCTCCCTGTGACCCCTCGTTTCTTACGTAGTAGGGTAGCGGTGGGAGCGGGGGGGTAGTGGGATAGGGGGGAAAAGAGCGAAAGATAGAATGAATGAGCTATGGGGTGTTTCTTATTCGACACACTCTCCCTGTGACCCCTCGTTTCTTACGTAGTAGGGTAGCGGTCACCGCTGGTTTTCTTGTTGAGACATTTCTTTTTGTGTGACCCAGCGTGAGCCATGTTTCTTAACCCTACTTCCATATTTTTCGTGGAAAAATGAGCCTGTATTTCTTTAACTACTTAGTTACGGTTGCTAAGTACTGTATGCATGCATAGAATGAAAAAAATCATGTGCCATGTGCCTTCAACGCTTTCATGCCGCCTTGATCTTCTGGATGGCCGCATACAGCACGCCAGTAGACTGGAGTGTGCATATTCTTCTGAAGAATCAGCGCGGAAAACGGGGAGAGACAAACGGCGCTCGCCCTCCCTCGAATATTTTTTATCCGGGGCCTGGGAAGGCGATGGCAACGTTTCATCAATTCTACTTTCTATTAGTACCAAGTCACCTTTGATCATTTGTTTCGATCGAGCCCCCAATGAGTTACAGTACCTTTCAGGACCGCGACCCTGCTTGAATCAAAATATTGAACCGTGCACCTCCCCCCCCGAGCAACCGAATTCCTCACCACGGCCGGGGTGTTCAAGCCATTCCTCCCGCCACACGCTTTGACTAACTGAAACCGTACCTTCTGTTTGCAGACAATGTGTCGGGTTTGCCAGTGTAGCATCGGCGAGTTTTGAGTGGTACCGATCATGACCGATCCTTCCGCGTGGAGGCCTTCGCCTCTCGCGATAAGACTGTTGGCGCAGCAAAGTCCTTGTAGTATCTGTCCTACGATGGAGGATTGCATGCATTTTTCACTTAGCAGGCCATCATACCATATGGTTATATGGTTTCCGTCCACGCACGGTGGTACCTTCGAGGTTACGGCAGTCGTGATGTCATTTGCCTCATCAGGCGGCACATGCTACAACGCTGGCGCCCCAGCTTCGTTGCGCAAAACACTTTGGGCATCGCCTTCCCTACAATCATCGAGCACAGGACAAAATCAACAACACGAATAAACTGGTCCACAGAACGCCTTATATTGTTTCTACGACAACTGTCACAAAAATGATGTTTGTGAAGTCCCCCCCTGCGTGGTGAACTTTCTGCGTACGCGTACCAGGTATGGCATGACGTGAACACTTGTGCGCGAGGCGTGAAACAATAATCGCTAAGCTTCGTCTGAAACAGACTGAGTCGTAAAGCCATTTTGCGACACATGGAAACATAAAAACAGAGACATGCCACTTAATGGACAAAACTCCTGTACACCATCAACGTACAGCCGGGGCTTCCAACAGGGACAGAGAAGGAGCGTCTTGCACATAATTGGCGATATGTCAACCGCGTTTTCCCCTTCCCTGCCCTCTAACCATAACCTCTAGCTCCTTCAACCGTCCCGCGTCAACATACGGCTGCATCATCCAAGCCGCGGCGTAGACGATCAGCGCCTCCCTATCGTCCCTGCCGTGCTCCTGACCAACTCCCTGCACTACAGTGGCCGTCACCAAGGCTTCCTTCATGAGCATATCGGCGACCTGAGAAGTGGTGTCGGCGACGTCTACCAGCGCGTAGCCGCCTCCAACCGCTGCACCGCCGCCGCCGCCGCCGCCGGCCCTGTTGCCGCACCCGGCACCATCGCCGTCCTGCACCGCAATGGCTACTACCGCTGCCGCTTCCACCCTTGACTTGGCGCCGCGACTACTACCGCTTGGGCGGTGGTCCTCCCCTCCCGCCCGCGCGGATACCCAGCGCCGCCGTACCTCTCGGGCGTGCCGGCTGAGTTGCCCCGCTGCGGCGACCATGGCGTCTTGCAGAGCGCTCAGGTCGCCGTGGAGGCGACGAGCACGGGCCTCGGTGGCGACTGACACACGGGAAACCGTCGTCCCTGCACCCGCCAGAGCGCCCCACACCGCACCGGCGGTTGTGGCACGCCCACCACCACCACCTCCTTTGTCCACGTATGTCCGAAGCAGGAGAGCGTTGCTGAGGTCCGTCAGGACCGCCTGGCCTTCGTGCCGCGCGGCTTTCCACCGGCGAAGGCAGCCGTCGATCTCGCCCAAGGTGGCGGCAACGTCCTGGCGTTCTTCTTCTTGATGGCCGATAGCGGAAGCGGAAGCTGCCCCGCTTGAGACCGCCGCGCTCATATCCTCAGCCGGGATTCCGACAAAAGCAGCCTTGCTTGTGCTCTACAACGTACCACGCCCGACACTTGAAAAAACAATCAATTCAGGTACAAAATATTTTGCTCAAGGAGCAAGCAACCAACCGGTGAGAGCAGCGGGTGCCTGTATCACGCAGCCAAGCTCGCAAGGAGATGTTCCGGTGTCTTGTTTATTTTTATTTTTATCCGGGGAGTATGCTCCGCATCTGGTGCACGCTCTTCCGGCAGCTCGAGTTGCTCAGGCCTCGATTGGCTTGAGCAAACTTATGATCACGTCGTCGTGTGCCCCCTTCAACAGCATCTGCGCATGGAAACCAGGGGGCGGACGCAGAGAGGTTTTGGGTTACCAACCATTTGCCAGAGCTGTGTACTGCCATAACCTGGTACCGTCACCACGACACACTATGCGCACAAACATCGAACACAACAACATGCGACTAAACTACCTGTGTGCTGGCAATATGTTTCTGTACTTGCTTTGTGAGCGCCACCTCCCTTCCAAAACGACCAAAGCCAGGTCGGCGCGTTGAGTCCTGTCTGTCCCTCTTGCTGGGTAAATCTTGGTTCTTACATCAAGGCGCTCGCTCCTTTGTGAGAGCCCATTTTTCTACCACAAATGATGTTTCCAAGCCCTCCCCGAGTGGCAGCGATAGGCCATCGGTGATCGGTCCTGTGGGAACAATGCCCCGTCCGCTCGAGGACGCGTGGTCAACGGTCTAACCTCTAAGGCATGCACGACATAAGAGTTTGTTGTTGTTGTTGTTGTTGTTGTTGTTGTTGTTGTTGTTGTTTTCTTCACATTAAAAACCGTTCCGATCTCTCTCTACCCAGTACCTTCGTATGTCCGTACTGATCCAACACTCGACGCGGTCGATTCCCGTGGTCGCAGGCTAACTTACCCTAAAAAGGTACACTCAAATAAAATGGCCCCGAGGGGTCTGCAAGTCAATAGAAATCAACGACAGATATTCTGGAGTCCTCCACTCCCTCTACGCGCTATGCGAGGTAACAACTGAGACTAGGGGTCACCATCACGGGCCGGAGAGAACGAGGTACGCCCCCTTGGTTCAACCTTGGTACTTCACAACGCAAGCAGAAACAAGGCCATCTGGCACAGAAAAAGAGAGAGTATGCCCCCTCAAAAAAGAAAAAAACGGAGCACGTTCCCACGCACCTGCCCCTTGAAGTCGACCACGCCGCGTTTCTTCGCTGCGCGGAGCGTCCCCACAATGGCCTCGAAAAACTGTTGGCCCTCCTCGTCGTCGAAGAGATTGCCGAACGACACCCCGACTGCGCCAATCGTGAAGGCAAAAAATCGCGCACGGCGGAAGCAGCTCGGACGATGAGGAGGGCGGGGGGCGGGGGGCGGGGGGCGGTCGTACTCTTATGTTTTGCATGCCTTAGCGGCTAGACCATGTACCACGCGTCCTCGAGAGGACGGAGCATTGTTCCCACAGGACCGATCACCGATGGCCAATCGTTCCTTTCTACTTTGCCGAAGGTGGCTCAAAAATGTCTTCCTAGTTTGTCTATCCTAACGATATCCCTTCCCGCCTTTTCAACCCACCTCCTATGCCCCACTACAGCTACCGTCCTTTCCTCTCTATTCCATGCCTCGAACATCTCCCTGTACGTCCTATCAATTTTTCCCAGCTCAGTCACGTACACTTCCCTCTCCTTCTTGTACCACGGACATTCCGCGACTACATGAACACGGTCTTCGCATTCGAAGCCGCAATCACATTTGAACTCGTCGTCTTCCTCGTCTACCGTCCTATGTCTTCGTCGACGTTCTCGAAGGTCTATGTCCCCGGTCCTGAATTTGACCTTGGGCTTTGTTCCTGCATCCATTGGTCCATGTAGGTACTCCTTGAACCCTATTCCTTCCTTCAACATTCCGTACACTTCTAGACCCTCCTTATCCTTGGATTCTTTCCTTCGATTCTGTTCTTCTCTCTCGACACAAGCACAGATACCTTCTCCTTGAACCCCTTTAGACCCTCCGTTTCCAGTGTTTCATCTTCGTCGATGTCGAACCCCTTCCATACGTCCTCTATAACCTTGACCCATTCCGTGGGTTGTCTACCCCTCTTTTTGTTTGTCCACTTCGCCTCCCATACAATCCTCGGGGG